GCGCACTCCCACAACCCCCAAGCACTGTTTTCAAGGCTCGCAGACCCCAGTCATAGTGCTGTTGCTTTGTCAGTAGCTTCCTGTAAGCACAGAAATTAAAATATATGTTAATGTTTATAACAATAACAAGTAGAATACAACTGTAAGAATTCATAAAGAACCTTACAAGAGGGAATAATAACTCATCCTTTGTAATAAGGTATAATCATCAGGGTTTCTTCCGAATTCCGGGCAGATAATTCTATTCTTAGTAACAAAGGTTTTTATTTAATCTAAAAATTTAGTGACATTTGAGGGCAGACCTTGTCATTTTTCAGAACTGCAGTCCAAATCTGTTTGTCTTTATAACCATACAGCTAAGGTAACATAAATCTAGCAGGTTAGGATTTAGCCAAGGCTGCACGGTTTTTATGTATTCTTTAAACACAGAACATACAAATGAAAGTTTAATCAGTAGCTTATGTTTGTCTGTCTATCCACATGTTTCATCTCCTAAACTGCATACTGAATTCCAGTAAAATTGGGTATTACAGTCAAAAGTGAAATTCACCACATAAATGTAATCTTGTTTCTTGTCAATGAAATATAAATACTTTTTTCACATTAAATCAAAATAAGCTTTAATGAGTTTCTCAGAAACAATTCATCATACAAAACTGTGTACTTAAAAAAACACAGACCTTATTAAGATCTATAGCTTTGGTTCTGAACAAACTTCACTGCAGCAAATATAAAACAAAATTAAGTGCAGTGTGAATAACTTTGTAACAACAGTTCTGTATCTGCAGCATAAGAAACAAGGCTATACGGTTTTTGTACTTGTGTTCTGTTCTGTCAATATCAAAATAAATATACAATATAGCGACTGGTATTGACAACTAAAGAACATTTTAGTGAAAAGTTTACTGAACCCTAATTTACTAAAGGAGAAAACCAAAGAATTATGCACCTTGACAGATCAAACACTTCAACAAGCTTTTTGCCAATGGACTTGGCATACTTGAAACCTTCACAGTAAAGAATCACTTCAGTAATCAGATCATTGTCAGGATGTGACATCACCACAGGTCGGAACAACTGCTTCAGATTGTCTGGTAACTTCTGTCTTCCTCCGTAACCCTTCCCTGCTGGATTCATGGTTACAAAAATACCAGAGTTTGGATCCAGAGGTATCTAAAATATTAGGTAAAGTATATACTTAACACAAGGTTTAAAATTAATTATTTCTGAAAATGTGTAAAATGTTTATGAAGCTGTTTGACTAGAGTTAAATGTATGTAGGACAATGCTGAGCAGTAGTCAGTAAAGCAACACATAATACAAGACACTAGGAACAATTTCTATAAAAACTCTGTACATAGGTTTCAAAAAATAAGAATGAATCAAGTATTAATGGAAATACAATAATAAATACGAACCGTTTTTCTAGAATCCTACACACATAAGGGCCAAAGTTTGCCGTACACAATATCTAGACCAATAACACAAGATAAAACAAGATTAATACAATCAAGTCCTATGAATGATATCTTTTATAGTAATTAAATTACTAAAATACTAAAAAAACATACTGTACAAATTTATTACTGTTACTCACTTCTTCATCCAGAAGCTTTACAGTTCCATGGCCAAATTTTAGAGCTGTCTGAATGGGTTGGATCTGCATTGAGACTGCAGATAAGGTTGCTTCTTCCAGACGATTGAACTCATCAAAACAGCCCCAAGCACCACATTTTACCAAGCCAACAAAGATACGAGCCATTGATCTCACATCAATACCCTTGATTTGGGGAAAATAACATTAAAAATGACTATGGATTAGAACTGTAAGATACAATTTCCATAATTTTAAAGCCCTGGCCCTAAAATATAATTCTGTTACAGAATCCTTCTATAATTTCATCAGAACATAACTTACCAGATTATATTTGAGTGCCTTACCTCATCACAGTTGAAGACAAGAACTTGACGACCTAGAAGGCTTCCTAGTGCCTTGACAGACTCCGTCTTGCCTGTTCCAGCTGGTCCATATGGGTTGCCACCTAAGCCCATATTCATTCCCTTAAATATAAATATATCATTTAGTTAATGGATAAAATAATGTAACAAAATGTAATATTCTTATACTTATATTTCCATTAACAAATATACTTTAAAACTGAACTCAGAATATTTTAAACTACTCCATTTTATAAGCATCTACATCTTTACAAAACATATATGTTATTCACCATCTAACTTTCATACTAAATTAAACTTATCAGAGATCTATGACTTATTGCACTTAGATAAATTCAACTTACTAGAGACTGATGGACAGTGACTAACAAGTATGACACGAGATAAGGGCTTACCTGTGTAAGGGTAAGGTAACACTTGTAAGTCAGAGGTGTGTGAACCAATTTTGGTGCATTTCCTTGATACTCATAAGTATACTGAAATTCAGCATCTACCATCCTGGCTACAGCTATACCATCCTTATGAATATAGAACCTACATAACACAAAATTAACCAATTTACATAAATTCTCTCTTCACTTACACATCAATGTTCATGATACTGTAACATGTCAAAGCAGAGCATACACATACACCATTTAAATCAATAAAAGGGCTACTTTAAATTTAAAATACCTGTCTGTTCAAATGCAGACAGATATTCTGTTTCATATTGCTTTGTTATGGTTCAAACAAGAAGGATCATGAATGATCAGTTGCTGAAAACAGTGGAGCATGGACAAGATTAAAAAAAAATCTTTCTAAAGTAAATAACAGATCGCATAACATTTATCAGTTCATAAAATCATGACAAAAAATGAATATAGATCCCGTAGAACTAATTGATAGGTACGAATGTGGTACTTGACCATTTTCAAGGCCATGCTATTCATTATGGCTTTACTTTTAGCGCTCAGAATATTATGTGTGTAGTGTCACTTACCGAAGCTGTCTCTGCCAATGCCAGTCCTGAGCAGATGAAATATTAACACCAATCAAGTGTTCCACAACACTCATATGATGGATTGTATCAAGTAACAGAGATTTTAGCTTCAGTTCCAACTCAAGTGAATCACCATCCATGTCCCCATCAGCCCACTCCAATTCTAATTTAGTGTAAGCTTCTAATTGTGACTGTCAAGATTAAAAGCAAATACAAAAGCTGTTCAATTAAAGGAAAACAAAGATACATATTTATGTACACAATTTTATTCTTGTTGCTTAAGACATTGAAATTCATGGAAAGAAGTCTTTATACTATTTAGCCTTATCATATTACAGCATATACATTACTGACTATATGATGTGGAAATTTGTTCCAGGAATAATGGTTCCTTCACATATCATGAAATAATTTATCTACATGTGAAACTGCAGAAAACAGCCGAGATGAATGCAAACATTTTTTATTAGGGTTCTGAAGGAAGAAGAATGGATGACACCAATTGTTAGAATCATGTGTGTTTTGTTGGCATATGACTAATTTAATAATATTAAATGTAGGGTTTTTAACAAATGCTCACAAAGTATGATGCAAAACTTCAAACAGAGTTGACCTTAATTATGAGCATCAAGTACTTAATCCCTCTTCTGGTTTACAAAGTCAATTAGTTTTAATCTCATTTGTGACTTTTAATAAAGTGTTTGCACATTTATATGAGCAGGGGTAGCTGGACTGGACACATGGGATACCATACTGAGGAGGGTACAAATTTTTTTCTTTGCCAAGTTCTGTGGCCCACACAGCCATCTACTAAGGATAAAGCTACTGAATCATGAAGATAACCCCATTCATATTAACTTAGTTATAAGTGTAGGAATATGTGGAGTTATACCTCCATGCCCCATACTTCTTCACTGATTCGTGATTAGACTCATTCAATAACTTGAAGTACGAGGCTCGTCCACAAAGTAAGTTTCCCTGGGGCCGTTTACAGAAACAAAACACAATTTCATGGAAATATTTATTGCAACAGATACAGCAAGTGTCCAGCTATTTTTCAACATATTCGCCACCGGAATTGAGACATTTGTCATACCGTGGGACCAACTTTTGAATACCTGGGTCGTAGAAGTCTGCCGCCTGGGATTGGAACCACTGTGTGACAACCATCTCCGCCTCTCTGTCATTCTCAAAACGCTGACCGGACAGGAATTTCTTGAGGGGTAGGAAAAGATGGAAATCACTGGGAACGAGGTCCGGGCTGTAGGGTGAATGATCAAACACCTCCCAGCTGAACTCCTGCAGGAGACTTGCTGTCCGTCGAGCCGTGTGAAGCCTAGCGTTATCACTGACCGCACTTCACAGTCGGCGGGAGCTGGAATAAGAACCTCCATCTTCAACAGCTGCAACGATGCTACTGTAAGAACGCGGGAAGTACCGTTAGTGCATGCGCCATGCTACGTCATTGCTCTATCACGTACGCACAGCCGCTTCGCGCAATATAAGGTTTGCTAGCTGTGAGACGAGTGGGAAACTTACTTTGTGGACGCGCCTCGTAAAATGGACATATTAATATATTCATCTGGTATAACACCTATAATATAACTACGGCTTTTTTAATTAATATATTCCACAAAAAAAATATGAATGCTTTCGCTTATAAAAATGTAGTAATATTACCGATATTCCATTTCTTTTGAACGGTGCACAGAAGAGTAAAGTGGTTATGTAAAAATATTATTTTTGGTGAGTATATTTCACAAAAACTGTCGGTCTTCCCTAACCTCAAACTTCAGCTGAAATTCTATACTATATTTGCATATTTTATAACATTTACATCACTTTTCTGATAAAAACAAAGGCTTCTGTTTTCCTTTCTTCTTTTTAGGTATGTGAATATGTGGATATATGCATATTCAAACTTTCATTTGGAAAGTATATATTGTTATACACTTGGTATAATGTCTTTTAGACATGATAATGAAAATAATTTAATGTGAAACTGGAAAAATCATACCTTTAATGAAGACAGAAGGTCTTCCAGACTATTAGAATAAATAGCTTTTTCACATCTTTCAGTAAATGTTATACTTTCAGCTAAACACAGAATCTGAGATGGATATTTCAGAGGATCAGCTCCTGAATTATGTTTCTTAATGTCATCCAGGCAATCTAGAAGAAGCTGTTTCAGAGTTGTTTTCATTTCAGTTGCTAAATTACTCAGCCACTCCTGAAATTACAATAGAAAGAAGTAAAAAGACATGTTTAAAGTAATCTTTATTAAAGCATAAATGTCACTTTATTTTCTTTCTGTCCACATTACATTAATTTTTTCATTACCAGGTCAGGAACAATCTGACCAGATGTATCAGTACCATCTTGGCATGAATTTGGAACATTCTTCATTGTGCCAAGAACAGTAACAGTTTACTACTTAAGTTACCATACTCATTCAACAATTTGGCAGCAAAGGAATGCTGATCAATAATACCACACAGTCACAGAATTTAAAACTTACTTACATTTTATAAATATATTACATTAGTAAAACTTAATTATACCAGATAAATTTCAGACATAACTACGAACAACGTATCTCCCTCAGCTAATCATTGTAATAGCCTTCATTTAGAGTTTCAGGGTTAGTGGCCAGCTGTGATGTACTACTGGAACAAGTTATTAATAAAATCATAAAAAATGGAACACAAATCTTTATCATTAAAAAAGACAATCTTTAAATATTTTAATTTCCTAAGTATCAACATAATAAATTTACATACCAATCATTCTCTTAATTTTCATTAAGTGCAATGTTTTATTTATTGCAGGTTCAGTTACATAACTGTTAATTTTAATGAGTAACTGCATCTCATTACCACAGAAATGAGATTGAGACATGTGGACCTACCTCGACTTTCTGAGTGAGTCCGACAGGTTTGCAGAGTTGTACCACCTCTCCTTCCAGTGACTTCATAGCCATAATGTTTTTGCCATCATCATCAAACACAACAGTGAGGATTCCAGCAAACAATTTTTTGAGATGGGCCTGGATCACCTGTTCTTTTGTGGACTGACCCAGTATTTCCAGTAAGTCATCATCACCCAGGAAGTAAAATCTTGGAAACACAGACCGCTTCTCCTGAAAACATTTTAAACATTTAAACTCAATCACAGTTTGCCAATATGTTACTGCAGAAGTTTACTGTGCAGGGATACATTCTATCTGCATGTCTTTTAACATTGCTTAAATGTAGTCATTGTCTAAGATCAATCTCAGTAACTGACATAATCCTACTTTATTTAACACTGCACATTACACGCACCTCCTCTTGGTACAGCAGTTGCTGCATTACACTTCGATGCTGGAAAGCTGACTTTACCACAAAACACACTGAATGTGGTCAAAGAATACCAGCAAGGATTCAAAGTTAATAATGGCACTGTTGTGTATATGATTTAACAGACAGCAGCAAGGCAGGCCATGTCAAGTTAATAACAAGTCTACTACAATTTTGCAAAATTCAGCTAAATATAACATAATAGTTTACAGTTCCATTTTGGGTCTTCTGGTCACTGACAATACAGAAGTAAGCAAAGCAGAGAAAAGTAATTCTGAATGAAAATAGTATGAATTGCATCTATAAAAACTCCTTAATTCACAATATTTGCACACAAATTTTTACTGGTCCCACAGCACAAGTTTTAACATACATATAACTGCAGATATCAAAATAATAAGTTGATAGGGCAGTTCATGGTAACAGCCTAATCCAAAAGTATTAAAGCTGTATTCATATCTCAATGAAATCACACTGCACAGGGACATGGCTGTGATGAACATATCCTGACATGTTACTGCATGTTTACAGCTCAGTCCATGGACAGAATAAGGATACTGAGGAGGGGATTAGAATTAAAATATAGAGACCCGTGGGAAATGAAAATTATGCTAGGAAAAATGTCCTTACTATAAATAGCCAAGATACATAACTTATGTTTCTGCTGTTATCTGATGACAGCATAATAAAATGACATCTCTTGTATTATATTTTCCCACTATATCTATAATTCAGGAGAAAACACTATTTAAAAAAGAATTAAAGAAAACATAATTGCAATGTGCTAATATCAATGCAAATAACTACTTCAAGGAAATCAATCAGACTCTTCTGACATCGAGACAACTGGTCAAGCAGCATGTTCAGAGTCTGGTGGAGGTTGCTGATTCTGCAGAGGGACACTACTTTGCTATCTTGAGCAATATCTCCCATAATGTAGCGGAAATCATGATCAATTCTCTGGAATCTGGCCTGGTCTTGTGACAATGTTCCAGCCCCAAATATAGGCTCAAGGTACACCCACCTAAAATAACAGTAAGAAAGATATCTTGAAATAGCTTGTACAAGCCTAAAACACATACATATTTAATATACCAGTTGTCCAGTTCAGATTAAAACTACCATAAAAGCTGAAGTTAAATATCAATGATTTACCTTAATGTGCACAGCAGATATTGAAATCATAAAACGTCAGAAAAATTTGCAGTTTATAAATATAAAGAACTTTACTTACTTGCGTTGTATCTGATTCAGGTGATGTAAGTACTCATCCAAATCAGCCAATCTTGTTTCCCAAATTGAAGTTCTATCAACAAAGCTCTCATAGTTAGGAGAATTCTTAATAGACTGAAGCAAACACTGATTGTCACCAACCTGGGATAGTTGAAAAACAGTAATGTGAATATACAAATAAAATTATGCTGTTGCACCTGAAGTTGCTTTGTTTGTCTTCCAATATTTTAAGAATATATTATAATTACCAATAAAATTCAGATTCTTCTTGTGTTTGTACCTTGTTCAGAATGTCTTTGAAGTCCTTTATAAGCATCACACACATTCCTTGAGAATCTTTATGTTCAGTGAGTAAAAATTTAGCTTCCACTTCCCAGATGTCTAGTTCTCCTAGAGCTTGCCTGATCACTATCTCACTAGATGCACGGGCATTCAGATTCTAGAAAAAATTCATTAACAAAAGCAAACAAATTGCATTATATGCATTTCAAACATAAAACCGAAACGCTGATATTAATTTAATCTTTATTGAAAGGTTACATACAAAGTTTCTTTCTTTTATGATCTATCTCTCCCTCTGTCTCTATCTTAAGCATATTTTTATATCCATTTTACCCAATTTCATGCATTCAATATCTGTTTAAAATATAGATCATGTTATTTAAATCACCTTTTTAAAACAAATTAAACAATTTTAATTCAAGATTAAGTTGAGTTCCATGTAAAGTAGAAGTTACAGTACATGTGTTTCAACATCATCACAATCACATCATCCTTTGCAAAAGCAGACCTATTGACACCTGTTACAGGTATTATGAAAGTGTCATTCCAGATGTTTTCATAAACTTCTTTTTTTCCTCTTGAATGATACTTTAAAAAGGTTTTTAAAATCCAGTCAGAATTATCCTTTTATCTTGTTCCTTCCCTTTGTGATTCCTACAAACCAAATTCAATTTGCATGACAACTTTCAGAACAGAACCCCAAATGACAAATATCATCCATATATGATCAGTTGTTTAGGAGGTATGATATGTATACATTCACTGTATGTACAGACAGCATAAATTAAAATTATGAAATTCCATAACTTGGGAAATTTTAAACTGTGAACTCACGTAATAGAAATATATACGTACCTGAAGGGCACCGACATTAGCAGCTATCTTTTCCTTGACATTTAAAAAGTCAGCAAAAGTAAGCATCTCAACTGACTTGTTAGACATCCCAAGAATTCCAAATATTTCAAGCCAGTGTTTGTCACTGAACATTTCTCCACGAACATACTTCAGTGAAGGGAGTACCACCTACACAAACACAAATACAGAAAAAATTTACTAATCAAATAAAAACTATACCTACAAGTGCAGTTACAAGTATATGCCTGAAATACTTGCTGAAGTTTCTAACTGTATTGTTCACTTTTAACAAGTCAACACAGTAATATGAACATGGATTACCATCAGTATTTCATTATTCTGTATACAATTAGGGGGTCCGCAGTGGCCGCGTAGTCTGAGGCGTGGGCCTTGTGCCGCTTGGTCACTGGGACCGTGGGTTCGAATCCCACTCAAGCCATGGATGTTAGTCCGCGTTGTGCTGTCCTGTGTACAGGTAGAGGCCTTGCGGCGGGCCGATCCCTCGTCCAAGGAGTACTACCGAATGTCTATAGATCAAGCCAATGAAAAGTTGGGACCCGCAGTGCTCAGGCACTTGAAGAACGGGTCGTTCCCAGTATACAATTAATTGTTTGGTTTATCACTGTATTGTAAAATCTCTAGGAACAATGTAATGAAAGCTAATGGTGAAACAAGCCTGATCCACAACTTAGTACATTTTTTAAGAATATGGCTGGAATTATCATAAAATAAAATGTAAACATGATAATTACTGTTGTATGAAGAAAAAGAAATGTGTGTGTTAGTGCCTTGTCCTGTTGGAAGGTTTTCTCATGTATACTGTTACAAATTATGCATGTAGAGTTTAAACTTGATAAAAAAGAATTGATTTACATAATGAAATAATCACCACATGAACACCATATTTCTTATGATATTTTGCTGTGTAATTTACCTTGTTTTCCAACACACCTCTACACTGTTTATTAACATGTAATGTTGTAAACAGCAATATGGCACAAGGTATTACATATGACTTAAATTCATATTTGTTAAAAGTCCACTGCAGTGACAAAAGTACCAGTCTCTCTTTTTTAAGTACCATTTTACTTTTATGATGTTTAAGTTATTTATTGCAAATAAACATGTTGGAAAACACATCTGCTGGGGAATTCTTCATGGCATTTCACAACAGTGGGAAGAGATGAAGTATGATGGATGATTCAACGACTATTACTAGTGTATATATTTTAAACTTAACATTGCTGAGTGCCTCAGTTCTCTTCATTTTAATTAATTCACATAAATAATTCATAGACACCTGATAAGATAAAAATATATCTTTTCAATAACACTTAAAAAGTTAAAGTAACCTTCTACACCTATTATTCACAACATATCATCATCAGCTTCTGAATAGTATTTTTATTGCTGTATCCAAAGAGAATGACTTGTCAGCATATAATATTCACCTTATACTTTTCAACTTCTTGTAATAACCTAACAGTTAAGGATGTAGTCTGACCACCAGATTTAAGTCTCTCTTGCCAATGTTGTACAAATTCTTCAAATTTGTAGCTCTTGCTGCGAAAGATGATCCATTCTTCTTTTGACATAGTTTCAATACCTACAGAAATTAAACAAGCAATAATTTTCATGCATAACAAAAAATGATAATAAAATGGTGATGGAAGTAGTAGTAGTAGTAGTAGTAGTTAATTGTGGTGATGGTGACAATTTCTAAAACACTATATTTTTTTCCAAATGCCATACAAACTTTCTTAATTTCCCTTAAAATATTATGTTACACACTATGATATTTATTTTATAGATTTGCACTATAAAATACAGACCTTCATCAAGAAATAAAAATGTCATTATCAGCAGCATATTTCAATATATTGTGTGTGTTCTGTCAATAACCAAATGTAATAAAATTCTCTTATGCAGGAATACAGCTTTCAAGAAAGAGTGGTTGTGAATAGAGAATACTGTATTCAAATGTAAAATATATTTCACTGTTAACGTGACATTCCTTTAATTCTATGTATCAGAATACAAAATATGTGTCATATTTTGTGACACAATTATTTCTACATGTTGTTAATTACCTGTGTTGAATTCATCAAAGAGAGACCACATATTCTCATGTGTTTTGAGATCACTCTCAACTTCATCAATTACAGAGAACTCAGGGGTTTCAATTCCAAAGTTAGCACAATCTTGCCTGAAAATGAACAGAACAAACAAAATGTAGTTATTCCATATTTCTCACATGAAACTGCATCACCAGATTTTGCACAGTCACATCAAGTGTTAGATCCTCACAGAAGCTTTTCTCTTGTCTGCATCAGCAGCTGCCACTCCTGCCTCTTTTCTCGAAGAACAGTGAGACTCTTTGTCAGGATCTCAAGTCCTCCATCCTGAAGACTTGTCTCCCGAGGCTTCAGTTGCTCCCAACGCAACTGAAACTTCTCTACTTCACTCATGAGGTTTTCACCTTGTGTCATAAGGTTACTCTTAATTCCTTCAACCTACAGGGATTAATATAACATCAACATATCATTTTCCTTTAAATATGTTTAGGTAATGTAAGTAAATACATTTCTGTAATGATGAGATACATTAAGCAGACAGGTAAGAACTTTCTGTTCAGAAGTTATACAATACACATTTTTCCCAAAACTGATTTTAAAAATGGTACTTTGTATGTACATCCACCTCTTTATAAAGCGAATGTACCAAATTTATTTTTAACTTCAAAAAAGTTTCAATTTTCTTAGTACCTCTTATCAGTTCCATTGTCTTAGAACCAGCTGAGTCCAAATTTTGTAGTAATAAAATACTAGCCCTAAGTTCTGAGCAGACAGAACAATGCATTTCCAGCAAATAGTTAATGGTTGTTCTGACAGCCCTTTTGTTAAACACATTTTCAGGAATTAAATTCTCCTTATTAAAATAACATAGATAATTATTCAATCTATATGCTTAAGAATAAAGTTACACAGATCAGTTAGCCAATAAACAGCGAGTGAATACCAGTCATGACTGTGTGTGTACGCTTGATTCTTATCACAGCACTAGGAATAGATAAAACACAACTAACTCTAAGCCACTAGACTTGAGATACAATACACTTTCATTTATAACAAATTCTTCTTGGGTTACCAGCTGTGTAAGGTGAAGAAAACATTTTCTTCATTAAGCCATTTTACCTGGCTGGTAGCCCAAGATGAATTTATTACACTTTGCTACCATGAAAGCTTCAGATCATACAACACTTTCATTTAATTACAAATAGAGCCAAATATGTTTATTCTTCATGATTCTACAGAAGGTAAAATCATATAAATTTACAGACTTCATAAAGACAATTCCATCAACACACTTAAAATGGAAAGAAGCTAGAAGAAGAAGATAAAAAAATTGTCCTTATGCTTAAGTGCATAAAAATTATAAATTAATGCTATACATGGCACCAACATTTTCATAAATAACTTAAAAGAGATCTTGAATCAGTCAAAGTACACAAACATAACAATTTCAGGGTATTACAATTATGCTTACCTGTTTACCAAGGAGATACTGATGGTTATCAAGCATTGCTTGAAAGTTGTTCCAAAGAGCTATCATGCGACTGATTTGCTCCACTCTCTCCTTGGTCCAACTTGCAAGGGCCTTATTCTTCTTGTCAGCCTCTTCAAACACCAGAAGCATCTGCATTCAACACAGAGTTCTAAATCTTTCATGTCTTATTCTCTCCCCTTTTGGTTTTCCTTCTACACTCCTTAAAAATCTCACCTCTGCTAAAGTCTACCTTGGCTCACGTCCATCTTTCTGCATCATATATTAATATCAGCAAGCTGTAACTTTTAAATGGACTTATGTTCCTTTTCTTATGTATTTCCCATTTCCAGAGTATGCACCTTGCTAATAAGTAATATTTCTCTGCATTTCTTATTCTCTCTCTGATTTCTTTAACACTTTCATTTGTCACTGATTTACTTCCTACATATTTCATGATTATTATTACATTTTATCTTCCCCACATCCCCTGTCTTTTATAACCACACATTTAAATAAGTTGTAAGCTGACATATTTTTTATACACTGTAACAATCCTTCGAAATTTACTGTGTATTGTGTAAATACACAACAATTCAATAATAAATGACTATTATCAATTGTTTTCAAAATTGTCTTCTAAAGGTTTTCTCAACATTTTAATTGATACAGATTCTATATATATTAACTGTTCATAATTCATGTCAGTCAACAAACTTTCAATGTCATTCTTACACACTTAAACTCTACATTACTTACATTGTGTTTTATAAAATTGATACCCTATCAGTTCACATTCAGATACTCATTATGAAGTTCTATGACAAATATTCTCTGAAGAACTGTAAATGTTCTGATACAGTTTGCAACAGTATTCAGCAGAAGTAAACTGTTTCTAATTATAGCATGACACGGATAATAATAACTATTATATATAGCTTTCCTTGATCAACATTTTGCCACCGTTTAACAAAAAGAGATTTACCTCTGAAGAAGTCTTCATAATTTCAGCATATTTAGCATTTGCTTCACCAATCTCTTCAACGGTTTGTGGCTGTCTTGAAAGTATTTCAGTTGACTCTGTTGTAAACTTTTCAATAACTCCAACATCCCTCACAATGGAACTCTGCAGAGAACTAACTATTGTGTCCCAGTAACGACGGTTGTGTAATTCAATCTCTGCACGAACTGGCAGGAAGCTCACTGAGAAGCAGTCAATCTTCTCATCGGTACTTTAAAGAATTAATGCAGTTGATCAACTACAATACAAGTATTAATAGACTAAAAATATTTATTACTACTATTTCTATCTTGCATTGGTACAGAAGCTCATAGCAATAAGCCAAAGTTCACATTAACTTAAAGCTCAAATCTGAATGTATTAATATATTTGGAAGTTAGATAGTTAAAAATGTAAGTTCTCTCATGAGCACACTGAGGCAAAAATAACATTGTTTACCAATTTCTGTCTAATGGAAATGCAACTCTAGTAGATAATGTTGTAACTGTCAACAACAAGCAGATATCTAACATTTAAATGTTTATACATAAATGTAAACTTTAAGTTCAAATCCTGTTATAAAATTATTCTCCTTTCATGTGTGTTTGTCAAACATGACTCTCTTGGTGAACTGCAGTGCTCTGAACAGTTACCATTTATGCAGACCTGGAAAGCAACAAATCTATAAAACTTGGAGATATGGTACTGTTTCTGATACATAATTTATGAGAATGTTTGATAACCTTTCCCAACAAACCACTCAGCCCTGGTGAGAGGCACTACTGTCCTATGAAATGTTATCAATAAGCCAACTTTTACACAGTGCAAGCACCCAGAACCAGGATGAACCAGGGTTAATTCTATCCTTACTCGTCGGGTAAGTGGTTTCAATGAACCAACTTACGTTGGCAACTTCGCAATTTCTTGACTCCATGTTTTTGAAGCTCGAAAGTTACGATCCCAGTCATCAGAAGTATGCAGATATTTGTGAACCAGGCTGTCTAAATCAACTGAACCCAGCGCAACCCACTGTAACCACTTTTCTTTCACTGCATTCAAGTGCCCAAATAATTCTTCAGCCTTGGCAAATAAATGACCAAATCTATGTCCATTCCTGCATCAACACAAAAAATAAAAGGTGTAATGTATACTTGAATACACAGTCTCCACATGCATTCTTTGCAAATTTCTAATTCTGAATGCTCCTAGCTGAAATAAAAGAATACTGTTTCATAATATATTACATAAGTTTTACCATAATCATTAACTGCAATAGATTGCAGGCAATTTAAAAACATATTATTATGCACCACAGGCAATTAATTACCGAGGTCTGATAAATAACAGCAAACAATGAAGTAAAAATCTGCAATCCCCCTACAAACAATCAACAGAAAATAATTAATAATCTCCACAACATATAATACATTAACATTCTTTCAGATTTCATTTTCTTCATGATACTTGCCTTTGAATAATGGTAGGAAATGTAAGACCTTCATTAGTTTCACTGACGCCTCGAAAATTATTAGGAATTGCTAAGAAACGTTTCAATTGTCCATAGTATTTCATCCGGATTTCCTCCATAGGAGGTCTAAACTGCAACTTCTGCTGCCTGTAACAATAACAAAATTATTTTATATGTCTTTATCATTATATATTCATTAGCAGTACATAAACAGACTAGCCAACAGTCAACTTACCTATATATTAGCTCCACTTTAATTTCTGGAAGATGTTCATTTAGTGCTTCAAGTCCTACTTGATATTGGTGCTCTAATGCTTTATACAGCTGATGATCCCAATGTGCTCGCCAAGACTTCATGTTAGAGAATTTCTGAAAGATCATTCACCATACACAATCATGTCTTCTTCCAAAAATGAACTTCTGTGCATAAATAACCTTCACAGTTTATAATACTCCAGATTCTAATTAGAAATTCACTCTCAACTTCCTAAAATTTTAAAATAAACTGATATGAAGTGCTACATAATGATTTTATTAAAAAACCACTTCTTTTGTTATAATTTGAAGTAATTTGACTTTCCAGTCACAAATAAGAAGTAGTGAAAATGTTCATCAATTGTATGGAAAAAAAGGTTCTCACAGAAATGGAACTCTCAGATGTCTACATGCCCTAATAAGCAAAGTAAAAATATTTCTCTCTCTTTTCTTGTGCTCAGAGAAAGCCTAAAAAGTAGATGAATTTGCAACACATAACTATAAGTTCTCCACCCTTCAAACCACCCTAGAAGAAAATCCCTGCAACTGATCAATCAAATAATGTGTGCATTTTCACCGAATTACATTAACTGAAGATGATGCTGTGGAATGTCTAGGTTATGGTCCACAATGTAATTCATTACAATTGTTCCTAGATCAGAGTTTTTGGTTCTTTTGAACTATTAATATACCAACATATGTAAACATATAACTTACAAATATAATAACATATTCTAATCTGATCAGTATATCAATCTGGAGCTTATTATCATGCAAGAAGATTTTACCACTTATAGTTGGTGTTAAAGCTTCCAGTCTTATTTCACCCAAATTTTTATTTCCCCAACACTTAGCTTCAAAATTCCATACATAGAAACTTTCTGTGCTTATAATTTCAATTTGAAACCCTGTTTACATTTCTGGTACAGTATTAATTTTGTAATTTGTTAAGTTATTAAAATGTTCCATGTAAGTCATTCCTGTATACTGTATCAGCACTCTGCACTACACCACTCTAAACCATTAAGCTAGAAATTCCTTTAGGCACCTTCCCATTTGAAATGGATACTAAACTCTACTGCACCTAGTCACATCATACAATATGGATTGCACTAATATAATTATAGATGTGTTCTTTTGACAAACACAACTATGAATCTACAAACCTGGTCTTCAACTTGATTCATAATGTTTCGTATATCCTTGAGGCCTTCCTTCCACTGTTGCTGTTGTCGAAGTAGGTCAGTGTTCATTAACATAATTACCTATAATATATAATAATTTTAGGTAACCAGTTCCAGTGATCATTAAAATTAGACTTAAATTTTTCATAATACAGTACACAAGACACATGAAGTACACCCACAGTTTTTATCCCTATACAGTCCCAAAGGTTTCCTCTGCGATACATACACTTTCTGCACCACATTCTACAAGTGTTCAAACATAAAGGATACTTGGTAACGCCATGAATACAGAAGACGTTTGGATGTTTCAGCTGTGATTACTGCATAACTTGCTAATATTATGATGGGTTATTCAAACAGTGAACAAACATAGGTACCAGTACTACAGTGACTGAAAGTTAAGCTTTCCAAAATCTTTTGTTTCAAAGTCAGAATTCTTACAATAAGGTACATGACACCATGGCAGGGTTCATAACCAAAATCTTTCAGTAGAAAGAAAACTTCAAAAAATGAATCCTGAGTTAATTTATAAATACCCACATGAATTATTTTCACAATGTAGTACACATCAAAGACTGTCAAAAAGTAATGAACCAATAACTAAGATTGTTCACTGAGTACTGTAAACATCCATAATGCTAGCGACATTTTATAAGGATATAACATAAAAATCATAATCCTGTTATTAAAATAAGTTAATTAATTTTTTGATTAACCACAATGTTCCACAACAATGATAGCCAAACCTTTTACTTGTACTCATTTATTATAATTTCAAGTAATAACCACATTATATCAAGAAAAATTAAATTTACAACAAATGTACATTCAAATAAATGTATCATAAGATGGCTGTCTTCTGGGCTGTTGTGCCATGTAGTCTGGTAGAAGATTACTGATGTTTCAGAGAGCCTTGCTGCCTCCATCATCATGGTGATGAGTACTCAACAATCCAGAAGACAACCATCTTCAGACTCACCACCGTGAAAACGTCAAATCCTAAATGTATCATAGCTATCAACTGGTGATACATGAATAATTCAGTAAATACTGGTATAACTGGGAAAACAATTTTTCGAATGAGTAATTGAATTCCTTAACCCCCTCAGTGGGGAAGGTGTCATATGCCAATATGCCACCACTTTAAGTTCTCTTCATAGTGGGGTAGGTGACATGTCACTGGCTAGCCTTTGTGAGGGGGGAGGGATTAGTTGCAAAGTATGCTAGACATATGAAATAAGTATGTTTCTTGACTTCATGGACAAAATTTCTTAGTCAAAAATCTGCTGTGGGAGCATGTTATTGTCAAACACTGGGTGTTGGTTTAATTTATTCTTTACAAATATGTCAAAGAGACATCTGAATTTGCTGTTTGAGAGTCATATGTGATATTATTTGACTAATTTAGATATGACTAAATATATCACCTTATCTCTGATTTGGTCATGATAAGAGGCAAGTTTGTTGTTTTCTCTCGACAGCCTCTCAACTGTGGTCTGCAATTGAGCAATGTACTTGTCCACAGCAACTGTATCACTCCATGTAACTCCATTTTGTTCCTGCACTAAGTGAGCCAAATCCAGAGCAGCCTCCAGCATCATTGGTCTCTGAGATGGAATCATGCGATCGCCAATAGTGTTGTGAAAGTTAGCAACCTACAACCATCAAGACATAGTATTACTTAAAAGTTATTTATTTTTATTATGTACTTGGATGAACACAAAGGCACCTGTATAATTATTAGTGGCAACAAACATGACATATTTGATTATGGTAAGAAATGAATGCAGATGCAACAAGTGGGAGGTGGTTCAATTATGTAACACTTCTTGAATTCACCAATCTTGTATGTATCAAAAGTAAAGTTGTTCCTGTGCTTAATCACAATACAATGATGATGTATGTGGAGTTAGAGGTAAAGTTCCACAAAGTCTTAACCTTGACATCAGATGCAGGTAAAGTGGCCAGCTTCACACTCCGATCCTTTTAATGCTTAGGAAAGAACCCTCAGTACCTACTGGTAAGGAGGTTCAGTGGATCCCTGTGACAGACTAGGTATGGTGGTAAAGAAAAAATAACCCATGTCCTGTTTGGTATCAAAGCCTAGTCATTCAACCAACACACAGCCAGTCACTCAATGACTGAGCTATCCCAGACCACATATCAAACATAGTGTAAAATAATAATAACAGAACTTGAATAAAATTATAATTTATAAAAATGTCATATAAATTAAATAAAGTGTGTTAAAGATGTCTGTGTGTGGGGGGTAAAAGACTCCAGCTATCACAAAGGTTAACAACTGCACAAACAGAACAGTCAATAAAAATTTTCAGTGCAAGTATTTACCCTGTTACTAGGAAGGTAACTTATTTGATGCTTGATAATCTCCATATATGTAACAGGGAAAACTAATGACAATCTATGAATATTCTATATTCTAAATGTTCAGCATTTACAAAGCTGTGGAATTGTACCCAAATCATTTCAGATGTGTATTATCAATTCTAAATTTTTATAATTCAATATTTTAATCCAATTAAATATAATATAAAAATAGTATCAAAACCAGTATAGCCTGTTAGGCAGACATTAAAATACTTACCTGTTCAAGAGCTTTGGCTTGTCTCATAAATTTCTTTGCAAGATCTGCTGCCTCCTGAATTTTCATTGGTATCTTGTATCCTAGAACAATGAGTTGACGCACCTCCCTCACTAATCCAACCAGGCGTGGGGCATAGTTCACATGCATCAACTTGCCTTGCTCAAAATGAACCACTGGTTCATCAGTACACAAGCTGCAAATATCAATACAAAATCTTCTTACTACAACTGAGGTTTTAAAAAAACAAACTATTTCAAACTTCTACCTGCACTGTCACACTTAACAAGAAAATTTCAAAATGTTAAGCAATAAAGGATATTCTCTCAATAAGAGATAATCTATTAAAACATCAAACTAAATCTTGAACACAAAAAAAATCTCAGTATAGATTCTCTACTGATTTACTGTGTATAAACAAATAATTCCTCCAAATTTACACTTCTTTATGACAATAACTTTATGTTACATCTTTTTGTTTCTAAGGATAGTCCCGAGTTAGAGAAATTTTAAAATCCTACTCATCATCATCACCTACTACAAGGATTGGGCCTATTGGCCCGTTCCAGGACAGTTGCTCAAGGTAACCTGTCCTTATTAGTATTGTAAGGTGCATTTGAGTAGTGAGTGACAAGCCCACTGCCTCTGTACAATTTCTACTCAATCCTGATATTGACTGCCAGAGCTATCTAACAGTGAATCAGGAGAGACATGGGTAGGAAATGGCCACTGAATTATGCTTATGAAACATCTCGTATCATGCTCATAAGGTTCTTTTACATGCTGTAAATCTAGGACATAGGACCACCGGCTTTACTTCACCTCCAAAGGAAGTTGTGCTATAGATTTTTATCACCCTTAAAAATCCATCGACCTCGGCTGGGTTTGAACCCACAAACCTTGGGTCCAGTGGTGAGCATGCTAACCACTAGTCCGCTGAGGGCGACTACTACTAATTCCTACTAATAATTAATAATACCAAAAACTTTAGGGTGATATGTTACAGATTATTAAGTGACACTATGCCAACTGTAGAGTTTATGTAACATGTACATAAGTATGTATGGGCATCAATGTACAGTTAATAACAATGTGGAATGAATCAGTTGTGGCCTATTTTAAGGTATATGTGTAGGTAGTTCACTTCACCCTGAAGATGGAGGTGAATGCTTTCTCCTACATGTTGGTAACTACTCAGCAAGACCACACAGCATCACAATCCAGAAGACCACAATTAAGAATCGAATGGGTTTAGCAAATACAGAGGAAAACTAATGTATCCATCTCGGTTCCTAAGGAGTTTTTACTTTATGAATTGTCAGTGCTTATTTCTAACTCAGGAGTACAGCAAAGTTGGATAAGACAAAATACATCACACTGGCTTTTATTTAAAATAAATTAATGTAAAGATTATACAGAAATTTATAATCATAAATAATGCATTTAGAAAAAAAAAATAGAACTCTTGATGGGTGCTAACAGTATGATAGTTTACCTGAGAGTTTTGTTGTGAACAGCAGCTCCTACATCTCGTGTCCAGCTATCAAACTGATCTGTGTGGTACTCTTTCAAGTCCCTCAGAACCTCCCCCACTGCTTTTTGAAGCTCTGCATAACCTTGCAAGTCATTCAAGAGCTTGGCACTTGTCTTTTCAATGTCTCTCAGCTATATACAATATATTAAGAAGTAAATATATTGAAAATATTTAAAATACATTAGTATATTTTTTATTAACTAGGAAGAATGTTTACTTTTAAGATCTGTGAAAATTAAAGCATAATAGATGCAAAACCATACAACAGAATGTTGATAATATCACAGCCTATCCAGTCAAATCCAAAATCACAATGTGTACTGAGAGACATGAGATACTTCTGACAAAAATATTTCACTTAATAAACTCTAAATATTTGCTGGATTTTCAAAGTGATCACATTATTTTATCATACTGTATTTTGTACAGTAAAATATACATTATTCAGTTAAAAATATAACTACTGTCATTATAATCAAACAGTATGAATCCCATTTCTTCTTCTCTGAAATTAAAATATACATAATTACCTTATACTCTAGTTGACGAACCCAGTATATGTTACTGATAACTTCTGGCATATCCAACAATCTGGCATATTCTCTGTTCTGCCCTGAACCAAAGTCTAAACTCACACTATGGGCATATTCTCTCAGCAACCCCAATAGATTTTCTCTCTCAGCAATCAATGTTCTTCTCACACTTGGCCTTTGGATTAATTCTTGGTAACGTTTGAACTCCTGCAGAAGCTAGAGAAATAATCATTTTGAACAAAAGGAAAACATTGGCATTAAATGAATTAAACTATCTCATAAAGTATTATTTTCACACAAATATTGTAGAATTATGGAATATCCTTTTAGCTGGGCCTAGTGCTTGTAGATATTCTTCTATGTGCATTAAATATGAACATCTTATCAGTTACTATGAGATAAAATACACGCAAATAGACGTTTAATATTGTCTCTGCCATTCTCACTGATATCATCATCAATAATTCTTCCAAATATTACACCTAGTTAGTCTGTAGACTGGAAAATATTGGAGAAAATAGGGCCAGAAGTTTGGTGGTCATTCATTCCTCTGTGTTTCTGTTAGTACATCACACTATAAAGCATTGAATAATATAATGATTAATAAAAAAATTATAAAATGAAAAGTATATGGAAGCACAGTCATAGACTAATTTACAGTACTAGCACAGCCATTTGTTGGAGGATGTGGGGAAAACTAACAACACAATTCTCAGGGCTTTCTATATAATTTAATTTTTATACTAAATATTCCCAGTGCAAAACCACATTCCACAGTTGATCCACTTCATCTAAACCAAAATCTTAATATTAATCTTGCAGTACTGTTTTGAGATGCACTCATTATGAACCAGAGACTGCCTGGAACTAGACATGAGTCAAAAGAAGAACATATTTAAAGACCAACTAAAACTGCTCTTTACATTAAATAAATTAATATATGTTGAAATTCTATGGAAAAAGAAGTAATATTCTGAAAAAAACTATAAATACCTGCAAAGTATTTTTATTAACTGTCTGCAACTGGAACTGCAGTTTCCCAGCTATCCTTTCCTCAGCTGATATGAGAGAATGCTCAAACTGCTTCACAGCAGCTCTCCATAGTGGTTCAGTGTAAGGGTTGTACTGGATTGGATTCAGCCCCAAAAAAGGTTTAAAGGTGTCATTTGTCCTCAATTCCTCTTGCTCTTTACGGGATAGCAGTCTTATAAGTTGTCGATGAATTGTTCTTAAATCCAGGACCTCAGAATGATAAAATAAATATATGCATAAATTTGTACACACTTTAACTTGAAACACTCATAACTGATGTCATTCAACAATTTATTGTTAATTTCTTTTTATACACCTCTTCCTCACTGTATTGACAACCAGCTATTGTACAGAATCACATAAAATTTATGGTTAGGTGGGAAAAGTTTCAAAATTAATGGTTACTCGCATTTGACCATTTTGACTGAATCCTAAAAATCTAATATATTATTAATTCTGGATTATGGTTATTATGTTCCTTTATATAGCAGAATATGTTATATTGTTTATGCTTTATAATTTAAATTAGAATAGCACATCAATTTGTTTTTATTTTTTAAAAACAACTCAGAGATTAGTCATAGTTCTTGTACAAAATGGAAGAGAAGTGTTAAACACAGACATACGTTATTTCAATAATGATGACTCATAATTTAATGAAGTTCATGACATATTTCTATATAATACAAAGATACTGGGAGCTTACTTGGTGACTGTCATGTCATGGCCTATCCATTATGTGTGAACATCATGTTGACTACTGTGAGTTGCTGTTGAATCAGCAGCAGTGACAGGAAGAATTTGCAAAATTCATATGTCTCAGTAAAATAAAAAACTTCCTTTGTGCTGGACATATAGGAATTTCTGCTAAAACAGTGAGTGATTTTGTATGATAAACACAGAAACAATTTGACTTACTAAAATGAGACTTACCTCTTGAAGTCTGTTAGTGAAGCTCTGTGTATATTTAGGGCTAAATGGTTTTCCCTTCCACGGATGAGATGAATAGTTAGGCCAATATAAAGATGTTAGCCTCTCACATGTCACTTTCCACTTTTTACAGGCATGAATTGCCTATAAAATAAAGTGTCACTGTATCAACAAATTATATACAGTGTGTATATATATATATATATATAGTATATTTATTTTTACTTCTTTCACACCAATGCACAAAGGAGGGCAAAACCAATTAAGAAACAGAAATTTACAACAACCAAGAGAGAGGAAACAGTGTTCCAATGCAGTGTAATCAGAGTCATTTCTTATTTAAACTGCTTCACATACAAAAAACGGAACAAGAACTGTGTTTATATGCTGTGAAAATGTTCCTCAGATTACAACACACAACATGTGACACCATGTAGCCTTGTAAGTGCCCAACATTTCCGATAGAACTATAGACTGCATCTTCTGGGTAATTTTGGTAATCAATTATATCCCAGAAGACCATAATCCAAATTTTCACTGCTGTGAGAACCTTAAAACTCTTCTTCTATTGGTGGATTGATAGAAGAGTACAAAACATGGGGTTAAAGCACAATGCAGAAAGAAAATTAGGAAGTTAATGCTATTAGAGATCAAGTTCATACCATATCTTTGGATGCCAAACTTTAATATTTGCAGCACAGTGACTATAAAAAGTTTATAGTATAAAGAACACTAGTAATATTTACTGTAGTCTTCTAAAAAAGTTTCTGATAATTCTCATATAGATATATAACTTCTGTTCACATTGTTTGTCTACAACAGAAAATATCTATATGGCAGACACACAAAATATCTGTCATTTTAGGACTGTCTAGCAAATCACTGAATGTAAGCCTATTACATTTATTATGATTGGATTTCATAACATATTTGTAAATTATGCATGAAATATTTTTGTACATAATGAAAAGTGAAACCTTCTCGAAGGTATCACCACCTTGTCGAAGGCAATCTGCCGGGTGAGGAGGCTTGCGTGCTCAAATGACCCTTAGGGCTATGCCGGCCTGAGCTTCGGCTCATGGTAGGGTCACCCAAGCCGGACAGGTCTAAGGAGATGCGCTAGACTAAGAGTGATACCCTGGTCCTCCAGGTTGGGGGTTGGGTGGAGGGCTAACAACCTTTCACCTTTAAAAAAAAAAATATGTGTTACGAAAAAATCAACCAAGCCTCGGATCAGGACGGACTCTTTGGCACGACCACGGCAATTGAAAAAGGACATGAGATTTGGTACTTGGAACATTAGGAGCCTCTATAGGGCTGGGGCACTGAAATCAGTGGGTAGGGAATTAGGGAATTATAAGTTAGACTTAGTGGCAGTGCAGGAAGAGCGATGGGAGGGGGAGGGCCCGATCCCAGTGGACAATTTTACATTTTTCTATGGAAAGGGGAATGACAATCATCAGCTAGGGACGGGTTTTTTTGTTCATAGCAGAATTAGGGCAGCAGTTAAGAGAGTAGAATTTGTTAGTGACAGGTTGTCTTACGTAATTTTGGAAGGACGTTGGTGCGACATCATTGTCCTTAATGTTCATGCCCCAACTGAAGACAAAAGCGATGATATCAAGGATAGCTTTTATGAAGAATTGGAATCAGTATTTGATACATTTGGCAAGTATCACATGAAAATTCTGCTAGGAGATTTCAATGCAAAAATTGGGAGGGAGGATGTCTTCAAACCCACAATAGGCAGCGAGAGTCTCCATGCACTTAGTAATGATAATGGCGTCAGAGCAGTGACCTTCGCTACGTCAAAAGATTTAATTGTAAAAAGTACAAAATTTCCACACCGTGATGTTCATAAATACACTTGGACTTCCCCAGATGGCAGAACACACAATCAAATAGATCATGTTTTAGTAGATAAGAGAAGGCAGACAAATGTAATTGATGTGAGATCATTCAGAGGAGCAGATTGCGACACTGATCATTATCTGGTGGTAGCAAAAGTGAGGGAGCGGCTTTCAGTAAGTAGACGAACTAAACAAAATTTTGACACAGAAAGATTTGATTTGAAAAAATTAAGTGAGGGAGAGGCAAAGGAACAATATCAAGTTGAAATTTCGAATAGGTTTCAAATTTTAGAGACAAATGAGGATAATGAAAGTGTGGACATCAACAGGGAGTGGGAAAATGTCAGAAACTGCATCAAAATTTCAGCAAAAGAGAAACTAGGATACTACAGGAGAAAGCAAAATAAACCGTGGTTTGATGAAGAATGTTCAAAATTAATAGATCGAAGGAAGCAAACAAAATTTCAATGGTTGCAGAACCCAAACAAAACAAATGCGGATAATCTATGTAACGTGAGACGTGAGGCTAGTAGAACCTTTAGGACTAAGAAAAGGGAATACCTGAAGGGCAAAATTGCTGAACTTGAGACAAATAATAAGGAAAAAAACATCAGAGACCTGTACAGAGGCATTAATAACTTTAAGAAAGGATATCAACCCCAGACTAATTTGGTAAAGGATGATAGTGGCAATTTGCTTGCAGATCCAATAAAAATTGTGAATAGGTGGAAAAATTTCTTTAGCGAGCTCTTAAATGTTCATAATACTGGTGATATTAGACAGATTAAAATGCATACAGCTGAACTGTTGGTGCCAGAACCTAGCTTAGATGAAGTGGAACTAGCCATTGGGAAGTTGAAAAGTTATAAATCTCCAGGAATTGATCAGATTCCGGCCGAATTAATTAAAGCAGGTGGCAAAGGGTTGCATATGAGGATCCATAAGCTTATTCAGTTAATTTGGGATAAGGAAGAGATGCCACATCAATGGAAGGAATCCATAATTATTCCTATTTATAAGAAGGGGGACAAGACTGAGTGTGGTAATTACCGAGGAATATCGCTGCTATCAACCTCATACAAAATTCTATCCAACATTCTTTTGGCAAGATTAACCCCATATGCGAATGAAACTATTGGGGATCATCAGTGTGGGTTCAGACGAAACAGATCAACGATTGATCAGATCTTTTGCATTCGTCAGATACTAGAGAAAAAATGGGAGTTCGGTGGGACTGTACATCAGTTATTTATAGATTTCAAAAAAGCCTATGACTCTGTGAAGAGAGAAGTGCTATATAATATTCTTATTGAATTTGGTATACCAAAGAAGCTAGTGGGTCTAATAAAAATGTGCTTAAATGAAACCTGCAGCAAAATTCGAGTAGGTAAATATGTATCTGAGACATTCCTCATCAAGAACGGTCTAAAACAAGGAGATGCTTTGTCTCCCTTGCTCTTTAACTTTGCGCTAGAATACGCCATCAGGAAGGTCCAAGGTAGGCAGGAGGGTTTGCAATTGAACGGGACACATCAGCTATTGGCATATGCTGATGATGTTAATTTATTGGGGGACGATATAAATACAATAAAGAGGAACGCAGAAGTTTTACTAGAGGCTGGGAGACAAGTGGGGGTGGAAGTAAATTCAGAAAAAACTAAGTACATGTTAGTATCTCGTCATCAGAAGACAGGCGGGCAAAATTATCTTAGGGTGGCTAATAAATCCTTTGAAAGGGTTACAAAGTTCAAATATTTGGGAACAACAATAACAAATCAAAATGATACTTGTGAGGAAGTTAGGAGGAGACTAAATTCCGGAAATGCTTGCTACTTCTCAGTTCAAAATATTTTGTCTTCCCGTCTGATTTCTAAGAACCTGAAAATTAAAGTATACAAAACAATAATCTTGCCTGTTGTTTTGTATGGGTGCGAAACATGGTCTCTCACTCAGAGGGAGGAACACAGATTGCAGGTGTTTGAGAATCGGGTGTTGGGGAGGATATTTGGGCCTAAGAGGGAAGACGGTGGGGCGTGGAGAAAACTGCACAATGACTAGCTTAAAATCTGTACTGCTCCCCCAGTATTGTGAGGGTGATTAAGTCGAGAAGAGTGAGATGGGCGGGACATGTAGCGTGCATGGATGGGACAAGAGGTGTGCACCGGGTACTGGTTGGGAAACCTGCAGGGAAGAGACCGCTGGGGAGACCTTGACGTAGATGGGAGGATAATCTCAGGCGGGATCTATCGGAGTTAGGAGTTGAAGGAAACTGGATTTTGTTGGCCCAGGACAGGGTCCGGTGGAGGGCTTTGGTTAATTCGGTGATGAACCTTCGGGTTCGGTAAGCCATCTAGTTAGTTAGTTAGTTATGAAAAGTGAAACGTGGTGTGAGCACAAACTATTAAAGTGCATTTAAAATACAAGCCAGCCTTACAAAGTCATGTCTCAACTAATGTCTCATCATTCAAAGTATATGGTTAGTAATAGTTACTGACTCCAATGTTAATTAAAATCAAGAGTTTTCAGTCAACAAACAATTCCAAAAATGTACATTTATTACCTGATTCAAATGTTCTTCCACTTGAACATAAACATCTTCCCAGAGGTTGATTGATTTTAATTTATTCTGGATGAATCTTGTCAAAGTATTCCCTGTTGGACAATTCAGTATTCACTATAAATTTTAAGGCATAGTATCAGATTCATAATGACATTTTAATCAGGATTTATATCTTTCACAGAGTTATTTGCAGACATTGCCATAATTAAAGAGGACAGACTCTTTTGCCTAATGTATTGCTGTTTACTATATTTAACTAACAACAATGCGCCCTTTCCCAGTGCCATTTTGGTAAAAAACAATTTCATTATTTATTCAGATAAATTATTCTATAATAGAATTTTCCTTCATAAACATAAATTTATTTTCCACTTCTTTATAGCAGCATATTTTAGATCCACAGAATGCTTTCCTGGCAGAACTTGCTCGTAGTAACTGTCCTCCTACCATCAATGCTGACAGAATTCAGAAATGCTGTATTTTCTTCATACTCCATGACTATTAATCTATTTTGCATATCTGATAACCACTAATTTAAAACTGTTATAGCATGCAGTTCACAAGAATAAGGGAATCTGTAAACCATGTCTCTTCTGCTTTCACATAACTTATTATACCTCTATTTAATAGGCACAACTGCCACAAATGTTTTAAGAACTAGACTTTCAAAAGATTCTGAAAGCAGAGAAAATATCAAATGAATGTTTTGTCATTATTGTATGTACCTCAAAAGCAGAGTCAGCAACAACAATGAAACATATTAAAAAACATGGAACATAAACTGCATATGAGCAATGATATAAGAGTAATGGAAATTTAATAACTACTGCTTTGAAAATATGTGAATATCCTATGGATATATGAATCACATGTCACAGTTTCCTAGTTCCTATCTTCCCTGAAATCTTTAAATAACATTATATTTCTTGATTTTTTAATTTGTAAATCTAAGATGGCCTCTCATTTTTAAAGAAGATAAAATATTTTATCTTATAGCCAGATAAATACTGTAATTTAATTTCAGTCAAAGAAGGTTATAATAGTTTTTATTGTATTTCAGTGTAATTTAATGCATACCACCAGAAAAAAAACGTTTAAACAAAGTTAATTGATTTTGTATTTTAAACGTTTGTTAATCTTGTCCCTAAAAATGATATTAGTTCTTATATTACTTTATTTATTTCCTTGCAGTTCTGCTCCTGTATTTAAGCTCATTTTTCTATGGTATTCTAAAACTGCTTCTCATAATTTGATTCCATAGGAAAGATAAGAATACTTATTTACTATTTATGAAAACATGATAATTGTTAAAAAAATTCTACAGAACTATCTTATTGTTTATCTCAATATTATAAATCAACACCAAACAATAAGCATAATCTTGTGTCTTAAAGCTACTAACCAATAACATCCATTAAATGCTCCATATGATGCTGTGGATACATGAAATCATCAAGTTTCCATAGGTCATCTAATGTATTGTGTGTAGTTTCAAGTATTTCATCAACATCTGCCAGCAAAAGAGAATCCAGGGATCTGTAACAGTTAAATATCTTAGTCATACTAAATCAGGACCACAAACATGATTTCACTGCAAAGAAAGTTTTAAGTGAGTTATGAAACTATGAAGCATATTATAAACATAATCATAATATGCATACACCATATCCTTGCACTCAAATTTTAATTCCCAGGTGAAACAAACTTTAAAAAGGAACTTGAAAGAGAAAAAGTTAAAGTACTGAGTTCTAAAACCAAAGTCTAGAAATTATTAATAAAACTGCTGCTATTTGCTGCTTGCAAAACTGAAATTGCTTGTAGTTTACTTTTCTCTATCTCAGTGCATGTCTATGTCTGCTCAGTATAATAGTATGTTTTAAAGATCTGCCACAATATAATAACCCAAACAAATCACAATTGGTGATTACACTCAGAGTAACTAACATCATGACTACATAGAATGTTTAGCCATTAAATTATATAAATACACTAAGAAGCCTCTGTGCTTATCCCAAGAAAAAGATCAGAAATGAGGCTTTCTCATAAGAACTAAAAGATGTCTAGAATAAATTATAAATTTGCATACTGCTACATACCTAAAATCCTTTACAAGTGGTTCCAGTGCATACCAAAATGCAGTTCCTTTCTCTTTTTCATCTTGTCTTCCAACTGAATTTGCAAAATTAGACCAAAATTGCATTTCATCTTCAGGAGTCATAATTTCTGAAACAGTAATGATTATGACATAGCTTATTAATTTAAATATCCTACGCAGGATTCATTGTTTTGAGATTGCAAAAGATATGTAACTGGCTTGTATATGTTGGAATATGGAGTTCACTGTCTTATGAACCACCATTCTTCAGAAAATGTTATATATGGATAGGGAAATTATAACTATGATCTACACTTGCTTTAATTCATTGTTTCCAATACTGTATAGCATACTAACAAAAACATGCTAAGTCATAATAAAGAGATTCATAAGATTCCTGCTCTAAATACCAAATTTAAACTATAATAAAACAGACAGGATATTTAGAAAGCATTACACAGGAAATCTGTGTTCAGAGTACTAACAGAGAGAATAAGAAACATTGCGACAAATGTAAGAACAGTGTGGTCATAGAAGCAAACTTCTTCCTGGACATTATCCATCATCCCAGATTTAATAAATGTCCAGGAAATAGTTTGCTTCAACAACGTGCCATCGTCACAAACCTTCAGAATTAAGTGTGGTCATAGATGCCAAAAATTTGAACTGTTGTACAAAAAAGTGTTTTATCTCCTACGGAGTTCAAGAGTGTGATGAAAATGATGATAATAATAAACATAACAGGACAGAATAGACCAGATGTTGATGCGTCCCATTCAATTTAAGTTCTTTGTTTTCTTGGACATTCCTGACAGAACAGTCTAAACCAGAGTTTATCGCCCTGATGACGGAGGCAGTATGACCTCTGAAACGTTGGTTAACATCGACCAGACTACACAGGGCAACAACCCAGAAGACGGAAATCTTCATACTCACCGCTGTGAGAACCTCAAGTCTTACATTATAAATCACAGTTATAACGCAATCCTCTTGTCTCAGACCACTCTGAAATCCTGATTAGGTCACAAAAAATAATCAACTCTGAAGATGGTATACAACATGTATATACATGCACACCACAAAACAAGACCCACCAGCTAAGTTCCCACTGAATTCTGTATGATGACGGGCAGACTGATCTCCCTTCAGTAAAATACTTTGTAATCCTGATTCAAGTTGTGTTATTAGTTCCTGAAGTTTTGGATCAAAATTGTAACTCCATTTATCATCCTGCAAAAGTAACAAATTCACAATCTGTACAACTTTCCACAATCTAGTAACAAGTGGTATTTCATAATATTTAGATTAAACATTTTTTATGGTTCCATAGTTGGTTAAAAAAATAATGTCAAACCCACACAAAATAAATTTATGATAAGACCAATGGTTAAAATCTAACTTGGAAAAAGTAATGGCAATATGGAAATCTGATACAAACCAGGAAATCTGAATGAATTGCGAGGTATTACTTCTAAGTACTGACTTCCTAATGAGCTGTCATATTTCAAACATATCTATGAGCAGTTTTGCAGGATATGCTAAAAATAAGGTACAGACTTCAACAAACTCTTCATTTATTCCAGTTACTTGCCACATGATAAAACCATTCTTCTATAAACATCCTTCCACCCATTGGTTTACTTTGCCGTATTCCAAATTCCATGTTATCTCTAATGTAAATTTTAGATATCAGACATACCATTACGTACCAATACACTCCTCCAACTTTTTATAAGATTTCTTCTTTTATGTGTATAAATATAATTTTCAGTTTCTAATAATTAATACATTATATAGGCAGCTCTCATACTACAAGTTCCTTCTTCAGAAGCCTATCAGGAAGTTGTATGCCTGTCCATCCATCTCATTACCAATTCATTAAAGGACATAAATATTATACTAATTGATATATTTCTGCAAAATTTAATATGAATATCATACTACTGAAGAAATCCCAGCTCAATATTTTTCAGCTCTCTGTAATCAATGATACCAGCATGCACCCACAAACCCTGTAAGGTTGGAACAACTGGTGCCATTCATTTTTGACATTTTCTATTGCAATATATCTTTGAACAGAATGCAACTTTGTTTACTAGATGTTTAGGGAAATGGGAAACAACATGATGACCATGTAAAACATTCCAATGGTATGTTATAAACACAACTATTAGTAATAAAAATGGTACTAAATCCTAGAATTCTTAATCCTTCAGAACCATAAAATGTTGCATTTTTTACAATCTTCTCTTCAATCTTATACTCACAGTAGAATCACTTCTTGTTTACTGGCAGGAGCATTTTATCAAAAGAGAATATAAGCGTACTACCAATTTTACGCAATATGTTCCATTATGGATTCAACAGAAGTAGTTTTCCTTAACAGGTAGGTTATGAATACATATCTTCACAAAAGGATATATTTCATTCTTGTGATATTTACCATAACATTCCACGTAAGTTTAAATAGTCTGATATATATCAAATTTTCAAGTCTCTTACAACAGTAATCCACCAAGAAAACTGCACTGTAAAAGATATGCTTAGCATACAATCTGTCAAACATTACTGAAAGTATAGGAGACTTAATCCACTGGTTATGAACTGCGCTACAAAAAATCAAATCGCAGCAGGGTAGAAGTACATCCAGAAAAAGTGACATATGATGACACCAAGATACCTCACACACACAAGAACTCTCTCCCAACAACTAGCTATTCAGAAAGTTCAGTGTCATATTCTTTTAGAACTCCAAGATCCTTTGCCTCATAATCACAGCAGGGTATTGAAAAAGTACACAAGTTATTAACATATTGCACAATAAATATACAAAGTAAAATTTATATTACAACTTATACATATCAAAAACCCTTACTTTCAGCAGAATTGGAGCATATACTTTTTGGATTGCATGATACAAAGATGACACAGGAGAATCTATCATTGAAGAAACAAACACATTTTCATGAAGATTCTCCAAAGTAATTATCTCTGGTTTTATTTTGAAGAATACAAGTAACTTCTCTTTTCCTTCCCTTGGCATGACCTAAATGTATAAAAAAATCACATTATCAATATAGAAGCATCCCACTACACAGCAAAGTTTACCAACTATAGAAAATTTTAGTAACAATTTTAAAGACTTTTAATATTTAAAAATTAATTTTGATCATATGGGATATAATAAAAACATTTTAATAAATATACCTATCTTTACAAGACCAGTAAACATATCACAGAACATAAAACAAGTTAAAAGATATCTTCATTAATAATAATATGATTGTACAACTGTACAAAATATAACATACATAGTAACATTTTAAATATTTCTGTTATATCACAGGTTGGTGCACAATATTAGTTTAATGGTAAATTATGGCCTGATTACACAGTAACATTGAAACATGTTGACAAAACGTAATAAATGCTTAACAGCCAATTTGTTGTGTATATGGTAACAACAAATAATACAGCACCCTAAATACACCAGAATATGCACAAGTAATTTGTTAAGCAAGAAAAACTATTCAGTGGCGGGCTGCATCTCAAATAACAACATACAAATTTTTGGGGCTAAGAAATCAGGTCTTGGCAGCCAGTTTAAATCACAAAACCATGAGAAAAGACAATGCAGAAACATTTCATTATCCATGCTCATTCATGCAGTACGTGAAATGATACTATCTCACTGCAGCCACACTGTCACGTGAGTTTCCTACAAAAATTCTGTGCATGCTCTACATATTCATGGCCTTGTAAACATCTTCACTCCTCAAGTTATGTAATACTCAATATAAAAATATCAGTCTTCTTTGCCAGACCCTGTATTATCCATCAGCAAAACATATTATTTATTTAGTGTACAGATTCAGAAGGTGTGTACCCATAACTAGTTCTAAATGTCAGAATAAACTGACATGATATACAAACCTTTGTGTCCAAAGTCATATGAATTCTGGACTGACTTTCATGTGTCATAGCAGACAGGGTGAAACAGCTTGCATCATCTAGAAAGCTGTTGAGATTTACATCATTGCTCAACAGTACACAGATATCTTCTGTTGGTGTAAGTCCAAAATAATTTGCTATATTAAACATAAGAAAAGCAGATTTGCTTGATTTACAGATACTTAATAATTGTAGCAGAAAACAACATTAAATGGGCTTATTTCAAGGTACTACCCCAGAAGGAAGCAGGTTTAAAGCTGAATAAGACAAAAAATCTGGAAGTACATAAGATGTCTGAAATGCCAAATAAGACATCATGAACCAATAACAAAGTCAACTTCATTTCTAGAGTAATATTTATTATTTCCTTTAAAACTTAAAAGACAGGCAAATGTACCCTTTGGGAATGACATTTAAATCATGCACATTTATTACATATAAAGTCTGTCTGCTGTCTAGACATATCAAATGTAATGTAAAATAAGTAGAATCCTCAAAGTATGCAGTTGTACAAAGGAAAATAATGTCGAATTATGACATTTAGGAGTCCACAAATAATACAACCTTCATACACACAAAAGGTAAGTTCATGTATCCAAAACAGATTACAGAGGGCAGAGAGACCTTAAAATGCCACACACTTTCTTCCCACAAAAACCTAGTAACATGAAAACAAACATTTTATATTAGCTTCTATGCCTTCAACTTCTAATGAGATCTATGAACTAACCATACTTTTAGAGAACTCCATTAGATATACACCTCTAGTTACTTACACTTGTAATCAAGTGAATTCTTGATTAATATAACTCCATAGAGGAGAGTCCTTCTTCAGAAACTGGTACATATTCAGGTGGTCAAGAAATTACCTACCTTTCATAAAACTTGAAAATTCATTAGTGTTTATCCCCAGCAGCCTGCCACAGGACCCTATCCCAAGTCAGATGCATTTAATTCATATCCACACAACATATGTCTTAATAATTATTTTAATGCAATACTCCCACACATGCCTAGGTAACATGACCAACCTGCTGTCATACTCATTGTTCAACATACTATTACAGATATCGCCATCATGGGTTTTAAACATTGGCCACGTTCAGTTTAGTGAGACAGTCACTACCTACTCAGCATTCCTTGTTGTCAACATGAAAATACAAAGGGCAGACAATTGGGTGGTACAAAAATAACATTTTATTTCCTCCTCATAAATTGGTGGCAATTACACAAAAGAGGCAACTATATACAAAAACACAGTAATTACACTCCTACCAGCTGTAATGACTATGAAGTCCTTTCGTTCATCGCCAGTAGCTGATGGCATTGTGGGCTTGGAGAATTAAACTAAAAAAGAGAAAAATAATTAGTAAAATTACAGTATTGTACGGATACTCTCAAACTTATGTGACAATTGTGCTCCAAACAAAAGTTGCATAGGGTGAAATCTCATAAATCAAATAATAAAATCCCATCTCCCCTTCCATTCCTCCTCATCCACCCATACAATACTCTACTCCCCCTTCCTCATTCAAACAGCCAGCAAACAATTCACAATAAAGCAAGCACTATAGTTGAAGTCAGTCTAACTTAGGTAAGAACATTAAAATGAAATAATATTTTCTGAAAACGAATATAAAGAAGGATACCCGTACATTTCTCATGTCTGAGATACAAAACAGAAGGGTGGAAAATGTGAGTTGAATGGTTGCAACCGCTACTAGACCTTAGCATGTCTTTAATTCATATGTACATCTAAATCAATGGAACTTTTTGCCTTACTAAATACTTAAGCACAAAGCCTTTTCCTTACTAAAACGAAACCTATTTCATACCACAAGCATGCAATTTGCAAATTAACATACCTCTACAACACTAATACGCAATAAGATCTCATATATTTAATGTGCTCAATTCATTTCTGTAATGTAGTAAAAATTACTTATATGTAATTAACCAGTTCATTACGTTCCATTTTGTATGAAACACGAAACTTCTTGCATGTCTGAACGCCTACTCGAAGCGTTACAGTAACCATGGCAACGATACAGAATGTCCCAAATAGATGTACACACATTCAATGAATTAAATAAATTTTAATGAACTAAACTATTACGTACGTCAGCATTGGCACTCAGTGAATTAGCGAATCTAGTGTGAGTATTAAAAATATTCACCATTAGCTTTGTGGCACAGGTGACTGGTGGGCACATGACTGACAAGGTTAATATTCCATGTTGTAATGTGTATACATTTCTTTGGACATCTGTACGTAAAATATTTTAAATGTTTTCTTGTTTTGGACCCCATTGTATTGGGGGTGGTAGATCCAAGCGAACTTCTTATACAACACACAGCTGTGGAAAGAAAAAAATACTGAATGCCAAGTGAATCCTACTGGAAAATGAAAGAAAGGTTAAAGAAGGGAACATCAAACTGCAATTCTGTCCTATGCCGACTCCTACCAACATAAATAAGAACGGAGAAAATTCCTACTGCCTCGAAAGCTCTAGGTGGAACCTCATATCGTTGGTTTCGGAAGAATTGCTTGGGTATCACCCAAGGGGAATTTAAGAATCTCCCTAACCTTTATATGTCAAAAGTGGCATTTCTTGCATACTAGTGAAAGTATCACAGACATTTACATTTACTAATATGATATACAATTTTAAGGTATATGACGCCAACAGTATCTAGTCGTTTGAAGACATTATTGAACTAACAATTTCGAATTATTCTAGCTTTCACAGTATGCAACGTAGAGCCCTACTGTTTCCGTCGATTTCAGGGGAATCCATTTCCCATTCACGTATCGGCTGTTCGGTTTCAAGTCATCACTTACTATACAAAAATAGAACAGGTTTGTTGATGGGCTACATTGAAGACATAACTTGGACTTTCGGGTAAGAGCCACGACGGATATTTGGTATTAACCAACGTTTCTGCAAACACTGCAATTGCCGTTTTCAAGGTGAGTGATGTGGGGTCATTTCAGAAGGATTTATGTATGGCTCTCACCGGAAGTCATACATTGAATTCCAACCGCGAAAACCTACGGACAAGGATTACAGTGAAGACGGCTAGGCTTGCAGTGCCAACCAGTAACAGGTTACGTATAATCTGAGTTACCGTTTATTAACTGGACAGGCTGTTTGAGGCTAAAAGAGGATGCCCTTAAGAAGCTGGCCAAGTGGACGTAACGATTAGTGATTAACACATATGTTGTTATTTTCTGTGCTCCGTACTGTTTTGATGTCCTGACTGGTCACCCATGTTTTTCCTCAGTTGTGAGGCAAGTTTTAACTGTTCAAGTTGTGCTTTGTGCAAGAGACTACGTCTTCCGCTCACGCAAGACTCCACCCCAATCTAGTTTGCTTTTTGGTTGGGTGACCAGCGTTATCTGCTTAAAGTATATTGTTTAGCAATTTTTGAAGATACACTGACTGATCTTGTATGTCGAATTTCGACGTTGTGCATACTTCTAAGTACACCATTAGTGTCATATAAAATTGGAGGGAAGTTTACAAGAGGGAACAGAAAACTGCCTTCTCCTGGCAAAATGACATCCCCATTGGAATCTTTTTCCACAGTTGAATGTGATGATGGTGAAGTCTGTGCTAGAGAAAACGAAAATACAAGTAACCCTGCTCCGTCTATAGTAGAAATTGAACCTGAAAATGCAGAAGGGCTGGTGCCAGCAAATGAGGAAAAGAATGAGGTAATTTTTACTGGAGATAACAGCGTATTTTCAACCATTAATTATGCAAGGAGTCATGAAAATGAGAAATCATCATTTGACAGCCAGAGTGTAAGTAATCTCTCTGCTTACACCAGCAGCTTGGTTTCAACACACTCTAATTCTGATTATGTTAACACTACAGAAAATATAAACAAAAGTTTTGAACATGAGGAATACCAGTATTTAAGTCATATTGATAGGATCATTAAACATGGCTTCAAGAAGAATGACCGTACTGGAGTAGGCACTTTGTCTTTATTTGGAGCACAGATGCGGTATTCTTTGAGAAATGGTAAGTTAGAGACACTGTAGACAATTTTACTATTTGTAAACATTTTTAAGTAAAGTAAAGTAAAGTTTGTCCCACTATACGCCATGTAGGCGTTTGGGGTGAGTGGAGGTATAGCTCCTCTCTTCCTTGACCCCAGCACTAGATGGGGGTGAGTGGTCAGCATCACGCCCCGGCCGGCTTTACCCCCGGGAAAGGACCCCGGTACCCATTGTAGAGGAGGCTGGGTGGGCCCCAGAGCCGGTCTGGACGCAGAGGCTAGAGGAGAAATCCTCTCCCCCTGTCGGGGATCGAACCCCGGTCGTCCAGCCCGTAGCTAGTCACTATACTGACTGAGCTATCCCGGCTCATAAAGTAAAGTTTGTCCCACTATATGCCATGTAGGCGTTTGGAGTGAGTGGAGGTATAGCTCCTCTCTTCCTTGACTCTGGCACTAGATGGGGTGAGTGGTCAGCATCACGCCCCGGCCGGCTTTACCCCCGGGACATTTTTAAGTGAAACTAATAAGCAGCACGGTTATTGACACAGCCAGGTTTGCTTTTCTCTAACTTTCATTTTCTACTATAACAATTTTCATGTTTGAGCATCCAGCTTGAGCCATTGAATGTCCAAATGTATAGTGTAATAAAAAAAATAATAGACTTTGCTGCTGCTTCTAATTGAGAATTTTGTGAAAAAAATATGTGTTTTGTCATCAGTAGATACAAGTCTTATTTTGGAAGTTGAATGTTAACTTAAATTTTATTTCGTTGCACCATGTACTCTGGTAGAAGTGTACAGATGTTTCAGAGGTGTTCTCTGCCTCCATCATCAGTGATCACCACTAAACTTCTATGAGACTACATGGCACAACAACCCATAAGACACCTATCATCAATTTTATTTAATTTACAATTGAAGTTATGATCATTTTGATCTATAATATGAATTGTAAATAGTTTGTAATTTGAGTTAAAATATAATAGTATTAAACTTACATGGAATTAAAGAATTTTCAGTTATTCTGGCAAGTACATTTACCATTATCTTTTGTCTACCTGGAGGCTGCGAAATTTAACCATGAACTGATTTCAGAGTTTACATATACTTCATCTTGTTTAGGCTGAGCTACTGACTGTTATAAAATTAACCATAAATGCTACCATGTTAGGCATATTCTCAACTAAAGGTTGCAAAAATGTGTCTAAGACACATTTTGCTGATATTTGCTCATCGTGTCTTGTCTCTAAACAGTCAAACGCAGTTAAATGATGAAAATTATATATCTGAACAGCTGTTTTTTTTATTTTGTTACTGTCTCTTAACATAATCCATTCTGACAGGAGTGTTTCCACTTCTCACTACCAAGAGAGTGTTCTGGCGTGCAGTAGTGGAAGAACTGCTATGGTTCATTAGAGGCTCCACAAATGCCAAAGAGCTACAAGAAAAGAATATCCATATTTGGGATGGTAACAGTTCACGGCAGTTTCTTGACTCCCTGGGATTTAGTGATCGAGTTGAAGGTAGGTTTAATTGACTACACAGATTCCATAAAGGAGAGTCCTTCTTGAAAATGTAATAGTTGCTCAGGAAGTCAAGCCCATGCCATTCATGGAACCCAGAGGTTCATTATGAAGTTCAGAAGAGTCTACCAGTGATCCCTATCCTGTGTGTGTGTGTGTGTGTGTGTGTGTCTATATATAAATCAGAAATGGAAACATTGTTTTTGGCATGAATGTGGCTTCTCTGTACATATGGATAATTCTGCTTGTGAATTCATTCTATACTCTTCTTCAAAAAATAATGTTATATTGTACATCATTAATATTTAATATAATCTTTTCCTGCCCAGAACTCTGTGAAATAAGTGAATAGAACATTAATACCTGAAGCAAAGTGTGTATTTCTATGTAGGATTTGAGGTTTTCACAGTGGTGAGTCTGAAGATTGCAGTTTTCTGGGTTGTTGCGCCATGTAGTGTGGTAGATTTCCACCAACATTTCAGAGGTCATACTGCCTCTGTCATTAGGGTGATGAATGTGCCAATCGAGCGGAAAGGGCCAGGTTTATAGGGACCGGACAGTAACCTGGCCCTTTTCGCTCGATTGGCACATTCATCACCCTAATGACAGAGGCAGTATGACCTCTGAAACTGTGGAAATCTACCAGACTACACGGCGCAACAACTGAGAAGACTGCAATCTTCTGTGTATTTCTAGTTGTTATAGGCGTATTTTATTTCTTACAGTCTTGCATTCAACAAAAAAGGGAGAGGGGGACTTTTGACCCATTTTATTAATTACTACTTTGAATCTGCTTACAAACTTACAATGGTAACTCGCCTCATGTGAGCAGATATTTTTGCTCCCATATTTTATGGTATTGATGAAGACATTATGATTGCTATAAATAACAAATTGTTCATGTTACTGCTGAGCTAATATTCTTGGTTTCGTCAAGGCTATAATTTTAAATCTTTAATACAGGAGACCTTGGTCCTGTGTATGGATTTCAGTGGCGTCATTTTGGGGCCAAATACATGGACATGAATACTGACTATTCTGGTCAAGGTGTTGATCAATTGCAGCAAGTAATCAACACACTGAAATCTAAACCATATGATCGTCGCATGATCATGTGTTCATGGAATGCCATTGATATACCAAAAATGGCTCTTCCACCATGTCACTGCCTTGTTCAATTCTATGTTGCTGAAGATGAACTGTACTGCCAGCTGTATCAGCGTTCAGCAGACATGGGCCTTGGAGTACCATTTAACATTGCTAGTTATGCATTGTTAACATACATGGTTGCAAAGGTTACAGGTCTAAAGGTATGTACACTTATTTTTATTTAGTGAAATCCTGGTATGAGAGTTCCACATTAAAGTATTCTGACTAAAGAACATACATTAAGGCAAGTCATGTGGCAAGTTGCTATATCTGAGTTGTGTACTCATGTATGAAACAGTTTATACAAATTTGCTGTAAAATTCTCAGTAAATAGAGCTTCAATGGATTTCATTATGCTTCAGCCATCAGGAAGTACAGCGTTCAATCCTGCTTTAATCCATTCAAGCATTTGAAATAGTTTGCATATTCTGTCTGTAAACATGTTCTTTGATGCTTCCCTTCATGTAAAGTGTGCTGAATCAGGTGACCTTTGAGGACAGGGAGGTGGGTTAGAAGTCTTAACAGTCAGTGCATCACATTCTCAAATTCCTGTGATGACGTGGGCTTTTGTTGTAAATTTATTGTAGCAACATTAAAGTGTGGGACTTGATGTCAAACGGCAGTCAGAGGTTAATGCGTGGTTCACATCTACAGTATTCACCTCTCTTGCATTGATGCATGCTTTTGGTCAGTAATCTACTTTCTTAATGGCCATTGATGTATTAAGAATTGGATTTCATATTGCAACTTTGGGATTTATACCTCTTCTGCTTAGCTAAAATATGTGACATCAGTTCCTACCACATCATTGTAATCATTACATTGTCATGGCAACCAGTCCCTACCATAAAGAAAGCACAGTTTGTCTCCATTACAAAGAAAGAATTAATGCAAAACCACCATCCAGAAATTATGATTCAGAATTTGTTAATACTTTTGGAATTTACCCTCTTGTGCTCTACTAAATGATGCAACAGAAGAGTTCCTACTGCATCACCATCAGCAGCAGCTATCTAATAATCATAGGTGAAAGATGTAACAGACAGCAAAGCATAGAGTGCCTAATAATCGTCCTTGCCTGAAAGATGTGACAACATGGATAGGACATTCAATTACATTTTTATTCCATGTCATTTGTAAAGTGCACTTAATAAATGATAACATAATTGTAAAGAGAAAATCAGTTTCATAAATTCAATTTCAAAATGATACATTTTGAATTTCTTGGAAGACATAATGCACTGTGTACATAAGTACTATTTTTTTCAAAGGTAACTTAAACAATACTACTGTTTGTTCTGCTTTATAGCCAGGTGAATTTATCCACACAATGGGAGACAGCCATGTATATCTAAATCATGTTGAAGCATTGAAGGAACAACTGAAACGCAAACCCCGACCTTTTCCATCATTGCACATCAATAAAGAAGTTCAGAACATTGAAGATTTTCAGGTTGATGACTTTGAGTTGTGTAACTACAAACCACACCCAAAGATCAATATGGAGATGGCTGTTTAATTATTCTGTGGAACATGGTTAAATCCATTCAGATACCAAATAAAACTGCACAATGTCATATCCAGATATATATCAGTTAAATTACTAACAGCCCATACAAAAAATTAATATTTTTAGCTGTTCTTTTTATGACCATTATCTAGTACTCAAGAAGTTACAAAAAATTTCAGTCTCATATAAGTCTAAATTTACAATTAATTATTATGAGTGTAGCTTCATTCATGTTTGCTGTTGGGCAGAATATAGCTTAACAGTTACACAACATTGTTCTTCTGAGCAGATCCTACAGATTTGCTTTCCATTAGTTGTGACAAAGTATGCAACAACAAACTTATTATATTTTTCTGTATACCTTTTCTTTCTTTGGACTGTGTCACGGATTTGTGCAAGAGTTCAGAGGTTTGATATTTTATAATAATATGTGTATGCACTTCCAAAATTTGCATAATAAAAACTCTGTAAAAAGCAATTAATTTGAAGAAGTGTTTTATTTATATTTTCCTGCATAAGTTATCCATTTTAAAATAAAGTTTTCTTTTATTCATGAAGTTAAAAAGTAATAAAATATGAAAATGAGAGATTACTAGCACTGCCATTCACAATGTTTGAGAGACTGAAACTGCCAGAAGCATTAAGCAAAGAAATACTGTAAACAATAGTATTAAATGGTTCTAACAAGATAGCACTGAAAGATACCTTGAGAATAAATACATGCTATACTGTGATAAATTGATTATCACTATTAAATACAACATGTTGGATCAGATGTTTCTTGGGTAGAAAAAATTGATGTAATATAGTTATACCATGAAGCAACAATATGTAAGAAGTTGGAAAGATGCAACAATTTTTCACCCAGCTAGCTTCAAAGTACAGTCAAAATTTGCCCAATAACTCTGCCTGCATCAGAAGTGAAACTATGATAATTTGGAGCATTAAAATGTACACAAAATATTCACCAAGAATCTTTCAAGGTAATGGGTGTCTTCTGGGATGTGGTGCCATGTAGTCTCTTCAGAAGTTAACCAACATTTCAGACATGGTTACTGCCTGCATCATCAGAGTGAAATGTGCATCTTGTATAAGACTATAAGAGTTCAACACTGTCATCTTCATACTTACTACCATAACAACCTGAAATATCATTAAGCTTTCATGGTTCTCATCCTGTTGTGCTGATGGTAAATACGTGGTATTTACTCAAGTAATCTTTTAGCTCTACACTGTATTTTGTGAAAAATTAACTGATTTCAATTTTTCTTGTGTAATTTTCATACCCAGTTCTCATGTAATAATACAGTCATGAAGATGTTAATTCTATATAACCTCTTCAGTTAGTAAAGTATTGTAAAAATAACCTTATTATCAAAAGATGGCTGTATTCTGGGTTGTTACACAGTGTAGTAAGGTAGATATTGACTAATGTTTCAGAGCAGCTTACTGCCTCCATCAACAGGGTGCTCTGATGAAGGCAATAAGTTGCTTTGAAATGGTCACTATCTACCAGACTACACTGTGTAACAACCCAGAAGACTGCCATATTAATATACGGTGAAAACCTGAAATGACAACTTTATAAACAATCATTCACCTACTGCTTGTGAAAATAACTGTAATGCCGTGATGTTTTTAAGACTTTGTGAATAATACAATTATGATGCATGTCACTCAGTAAAAGAATGAAAAAATGGTACACTGCATTTAAATTTCCATATTCAGTCATCAAAACCCATGCACAGTTACAAAATAAATATTTGACTTTTATTAGCACATCTGAAGTTTTACTTTGTAAGGTCTATGATACTAACTTCAATCTGTATATAAAACCTGAGTTTCTAATGAAAATAAAATCTCCATGTTTCTGACACCTCACATTCAAATATAAAATTTTAACAAAACTAATGTCATATTCATGTCTGCATACCACCAATCTTCCTGAACACAGACTACATTTCTGAACCCAAGACAAGATCACTATTGTGCATGTGTTTGACACAAAAATGAGACAACTTCAAACTTCACATAAACCTGTTTCCAACCCCAATGAGCATTTCACAAAATCAAGACAAGTTCCATGAGGATAATGGAGCCTAAGTTATATTTATACACTGTAGAACATATTTAAATTGTGTAAAAGCTCTATTCCACATTAATATGTAAATTGGACATTAGTCAACTGAATTTGGTCAGCAGTCATATGTTTTTATTATCCAAGTCTAATGAATGAGTACACATACATTATTTTGCATACTGCAGATGCTTGGGCTAACTTCTGAGCCATAAGATTATCCTGATGTTAACTGAGGGGTTTCTGGGAAAAATGACACAGTCCAAAATTCAACTTTTGGCAAATCAAAAACCTTTCCAGCATCTCAATGTGAAAATTTCTTGGCATCCTTATTCTGTATCAATGCATTTACAAAACAGGATTATAGTTACAGATATGTAGGTGGTTTACTTTCACAGAATATGACAACAAGAAACTCACATTAACTTTTACTTAAAGAATACAGTGGTACAACCAGAAAAAATATATTTCATTACTCATTTTCTTCCAAACTGAAGTGATTTTTACCATAATATTACAACTTTATAGGTACAGGTTTAATCTATAAGATGGCAACACAAACTAAAAATGGTCCACTTTGGACTAATGTAGTTTTTCCTAGTAACCCCTCAATTTTAAACTCTGTGATCAAAAATATAACTTACAAGGACAGCAAACAGCATGTTTAACCTGAAATGACATTTAAATGCCTGGCTACCAAGGAAATACCTTACTGGTCCAGTTATAAGTCAATTTCTAATACAAGGCAACCCTCATTTTCAGAAACCATGAAAAAAGCAGTTTTAAACACTGTAATAAAATGCATTTATAAGGCCATTATGAATTGAGAGCCTATCTATTAATACAAAGACTATGCCTTATAACAGGGTTATCTGGGAAATTCAAAGGAACTAATATGAAGATTATCTTGAATTCACAATGTTCATCCTTATTCCCAATTAGGTCTAGATGAAACAAGGATGTTACAAATAAGAAACCTTACTTTTCATTAATCTTTATAAGTATAAATAAAATGAAATAACAGACAAAAGCTACAAATTTTCAGAAACCACAATGATAATGTATATTATCTGACAAGCTGAACAGTAAGACATGCAAAGATGGTCTCATAAATCATAAGAAAAAACTCTCATGTTGAAGAATAGGACAGTTAATACAAAATTAATTAACAGGTTTCAAAACAGTTAATGAATGGCTGAGCTACAATGCAGTTTATTCTGACAGTATATCACACTAGAATCATATCCCAGCCTTGCATATGAAAAAACAATATTAAAATGCTTGCATCTGTACACAACAAACTGACCTATGCATCTGTAATAAGACTAAAAATTATACCAGGCAACTGTCATTAATGACAACCTAAAAATTATGATGGCATTATCCCATTAACTTCAAATTTTAAGTCTTCTAAATATGGACAACAAATGTAATACTTAAAAGTGAAGAGTAAAAATGATTTTGGTCCAGTTTCTAGATGTAAACATAACTCACACAATCCTTCTTTATACCTAATACAACAGTTCATTATTCTTCATCCATCTCACTCACACATGGCTGATGTAAATGTTAACACATCATGTTGGTATCACCATCTTGCGTCTGCTGCACAGAATCCTGATAATTATAAATTACAGTTTTATAAAATAAAGACCAAAAGGCAACAACAGTAAATTATTTTGTATCATGTGATTTACTGGTCAACATCTTACCCACAACTAGGTCTGATATTTCTTTCCTTTCTTAACCCAAACTAATGTTTCATAAATCCTCTTTTTTTAAGTCAGTTTAACCCCTTCATACACGTGGCCATTTTTCTGAAGGTATTAAACGTACCAACCCGAATCACTTTACTTGTCAGACTTTTTGGGTTCTGACGGGATGATTCTTTCAAATTCTGTCATTTCATTTTATTATATTCCAAAACCTCTTGTTTCATGTTCATCTGTTCCACTTCCTTAACCACCTGTATTACTGAAAGGATTGGAATGGAGGCCAATTTATCAGAAGCAATAAGACTACACTTTTCTTTAAGGGGGTTGTGGAAATTAAACAATTTGTCCTAATCGATACACTCTCTACATTGTATTCAATTTGACTCACATAACAGAGAAACAGAACTAGAAGTTGTGTAAAGAACTAATGATGAATACTTTCATTTTGAATTATTCAATGTATATGATAAGGCTAGAAATTTCTATAAATTAATAGTTAAAATTTAGTGATCCACTTCTGTGCATAATTTCCTCTAGTAAAAAGTCCAAATATATGATATATTTCCTATATATGAATGAGCCACAGAGTAGCCATGATTGTAATTATCAGCATTTAAAGCATGGTTCACACCATCTATAGACATGTGTATGATCTGTCTCCATAAAAAATGTACACGCCTACCTCCAATGTTTCATTAGTTATCACCATCTACATATATTTTTGCATGGCCAAATAGTTGCCTGAACAAAACGTGAACATTATCTAACATAAACTACCACAGAAAACTGCAGGACTTCACATTAAGTGCACTAGTGAAGCTGAAACCTCACAAGTTCATATGGTTTCCACCTCTAAAATGCTAGTTTATTATAAGGTGTGCTCTGGTGAGTATTTCTTTTGTACTTGCTCCTGACTTTCCCATTTATTCAATCTGCACATACAATCATCCTTCGTAAACTACGTGAACTCTGTCTCAGTCTAGATGTAATGTTCATAAGTATGAAATGTTTTATACATCTCACTCAAGGGATAAACTTGGAAATATCCAAAAAAGTAAATGCATCTGATAAGTTTAACCAATGCAACATTACATATAAATAATTTTTACAACTAAATATAAAAATTAGAATAAAATTTTAAGTTCTCACCTGGAACAAGGTCTGACTAGAAGGTCTGCTGGTTGGTCCAAATGGATTGAAATTTGTTTCATCCAGATGGGGTGATGCACCAAGTTCACTAAAATGTGATAACTGTTGTGTGAGAGCCATTGTCCCACCTTCTGCGACCGTCAAAATCGCCCAAATAACATCTGTTTTATACAAACAAAACTGATTACAAAACAGAACCTCATAGGACTTGTTATAAATAGGGTCTGAAGTATAGTATGTGCACACACATCTCAAGTGATTAGATGTTCTAGTTTTAGCATCAAACTTCTGTAAAACTGTTCTCCTCTAAGGAGTTGAACAGAGAAACAATTCTGGTTCATTTCCTCTCTCTAAATATGTAATTTATGAATGGTAATTTCTGATACTTCTTGTAAATATGAAATAAGTGGAGTGGATGAGCAATGACCTCCAATAGGAAATCTTATAAAAACCAGTCCAATGTTTTTTGAATTATCAGATAATACAGCATAAAAATCCTTTCTGTTTAATTATCTTGAGAACCATAAGATGAAGAAGTGTATTGGACATAAAATGTGTTTCATTTTCCATTGAAACTAAAACTGGAATGTGTTGAAAATTTTAGTGAACTCTCTAACATGTGAAAGCTGTGTTTAGGGCAGCATGTACTGCTGAGCAACAACAGATTATCACTTAGCAGCATGTGAAAAGCCTTGTTTATGAAATAAAATCATAAGTGTGCTGCCTGGCTACAACTACAGTGCCACATAAAAAATACAGTGCATACAATTCTCATACCAAATACATTAGCTTTACAATTCCCTTTATTCTAACAACGATATTAAGTCACTTCCTAAACTACATGTATCTTCTCATTAAAAAATGCTATCACTATAACATGTATAAGTATCAGTGCAAACCTCCAAAATATGAGCCTGATGGAGTTGACATTCTCCACTTGCTCTCATAGATGCCAGGCTGTTCTGGACTGACCATATCAACACTCAGATCTATGGTGCAACCAGGACCAACTGGCCGAACTGGTATTCGCTCTGCAGCACACAGCTGATCACCACCACTAAACCGCAAACAACATCCTGGTGGCCAAATCTCATCACCAATATTCTGCACTCGCCAAGTCTTAGTAAACCTATAATGAAACAAATATATTGTTAATATAGACATTACCAACTGACAGTCCACAAAAAACAAAAAATGCAGAATACTTCTGATCATCATCTTCTGGATAGTGTGCCATAGTCTTTTGACCAAAAATCAATGTTTAAAAGCATACTGCATCTATCGTTGGGACTGAAGTAAGGAGGGTTAGAAAATACATGGATGATCAATGACTCCATACTGGCCACAGAAGAGAAAACATGATTCTCCTTAAGAAATCTTTGCTTCCTGAAGATGCTGCACAATGACTGTGACTACATGCTTTGAGGCCACCCGGACTATACAAGTTCCCAGAAATATATAAGAAAGGTGTCCCCTGTAGCTCACACTTACAGTCTTGCAAAAT